CCCTCCCCCCCCCCCCCCCACCCCCACCCCCACCCCCACATTCTGTACAAGATAGAGCACATATTATATTCAAAGTAGTGGAAAGTTTAGCTCCACATTCATCTTCTAGTTTATAATTTTCTGTCACCAACTCACCAAGTCCCTTTCAATAAATCCCCCGACCCCCTCCCTCAGCCGCCCCGTGCGCACGGGGGCGTGTTTCCAAGTTTTGGTCTTTCTCAAAACACCAATTTTTTGTTTCCAAAATTTTGTCTTGTTTTCAAAACAAATTGGCTGAAAAAATAAAAACAAAAACACTTACCAATTGTATTTTTGTTTTTGATTTTGGCAAAAATTGAAAATAAAAAAATAAAATAAAAAACAAAGTAGTTTCCAGACGTACCCTAAAGGTCAATGATATAAAGCCAACTCAAATTTAATAATTTAAATTTAAAAAATAAAAAATCCAAGGAAAATGGGATGGGATTTTGGAGCACATCCAGCCCCAATACATTACTATACATAATATACTAGCAATGGGCCCGTTTCTGAAGACACTATGCAACAAAAAATATTGCCAAAAAACACTCGACAATGCCGCAAATAGGAGTAAAAATTGAGTTATGTTGGGTTCGTGTTGAAAACCCCTCAACCATAACAAAACTTGTTACCAACTCCTATAGCACAATCAAGATGACTAACACGATCTCTTTAACTATTTCAATCCATTAACATAATTAACATTGGCTCAAAACCATCCTATCAAATATATGAAAAAAGTTGAGAAAACCATATTCTATACTCCTAAGTATCTGAATCCTCTTAGCACAACACAAATAGTCAAGCGAAAATATAATCTCAAGCAACATAAAACTTGTGAAATAAGAGAATAGTGAAGTTGTATATTGCTTTAGTGTGATTTACTATATAAATGAGGAGGCTTATTTATAATACAAGAGAGTAGTGAAGTTTCCTAATTTAACTGATACGGGACAAACATATAAACATTTACAAAACCCACAAACTAATTCACAATCCCAACCAATATATTCTGCCACAACTTGCACTTATTTCAATGCAAACTATTGATTCGGGTTAAAGCTTGCAAACACAAGTTACACATCCAAAAAAATATATTCATCCACCTATCACCATGCCCTTATCTATTACCAAAATCATGGAAAACATGTAGAATATGTAAATTTATTTAATAAGGACCATTGGAGCTGCTCAAGATATATTGTAAATTTTTGTAATCTAAGACTTTACAACTAATAAACTTTGACACGGTTTCTTTATGGCTAGTAAACTTTGACGAAGAAATCAAAAAATCTTAAACAACCAAAAAACTGATAAATCAATGAATTTAAGAGAGGAGAATATTTTCTTACTAATTGTGTTTCTTCTGACTCTCTTTTAAATGGGAGGCCAATAACAGTAACCTTTTAGTTCTTTTAGCTTACTTATGTGTTTAGGTTAATGCATCACATGAAGATATATGATGATTGCTAGAGAATGCAATTATAAGAACTACTACATCCATCCATACTTTCACCACATGTATGTCTTACTATGTATAATCACTCTAGAAGTTTGCATTGAAATCCAAGTAATGTCATGATTCAAATTTCATATTTTATCCGTAAACCACATCAAAATCTTAAATATCTGGTCTACAAAGTTAAGAAAAGATATTAAGGTCTAATTCTTGTTGAGAACATGATTCCTCCGAAATGCATTTTGGAAAAAAAAAAAAACATTTCACACAGACCACTATTTAGTAACAGTCATCTGACTCGAAAAAACATGTTCTATAGCCAAACAAAAACTAAATGAGTTTGAACAGTACAAAAACATATCAAAAGAAAGGTAAAATAATCTATAGGACAATACCCAACTCATCAACGCTAAACAAATGCTATCAAGCACGTCAACTACCTGCCAATACAAATAAAATATATAAACAAAAATTGAATTAAAAAAGACTTATTAAAATTAACCAGAATAACAATACGTATGAGTACGTATGGCCAAGGAAGTCTAGAACATCAGTATTATGTGAGATCTAACATTGAAAAAAAAGTAGTTATAAAAAAAAACCAACAAAATGGAATTAAATATTAAACTAAAACAATGGTCAAAATGGTCATGGAGCAAAAGGATCTTACAATAATGAATTTGTTGCTCCTGCAATAAAAAACATATGACTCAATTATAAATTAGTCCAAAAAAAAAATCAAATCCAAGGAAGGAATAGTTGCAAAAATCAAACAACGTGTTAGCCACAAAAAATCTTGAAACCAAATCCAATCCCTGTCTGTCAATCATTTTTTCCAAACATCTTGCGTGCAAGCCCCAAAAGTGAAAATTAACATCGCCGTAACTATAGTCAAATGAAAAAAAAAATATAGTAAACTCAATTGGAAATGAGATAGAATAGCAAACAAAAATCAGTGTGTGCATGGGGTATGGTGTGTCCTCTCTGTGTGTGTATTGTGTAACTATGTGAGTGTGTTGTGTGTGCGTGTGTTTATGTGTCTATGTGTGTTTCTATGTTATACATGTGTGTGCGATTGCATGTGTGTTTGTGTGCACGACTATTCATCTGTGGAGAGAGAGGTGAGACAAATAGGTGAGATAGTGTGTTGTGCGTGACATTGCATGTGTATGAACTAGACTCTGACTGTATTTCTGCCAATCAAAATTTAAATTTGATTTTAAAATTCCGTCTGATTATTCCATGGATTTTATTTTCACATCCTATATGCAATTTCATTTAAAGATCGAAAATCTGATTAAAAAATCCAACCAGATTCTAATGAGTTAATTAAAGATGAATTTTAACAGAACAATAGGTTGTTACATTAATTATTGGACAACGCGCCTTAACCAAACAGTAACTTGTTTGTGAGGGATTGGTTGAGTAGTCTAAGGATGGGAAAGAAACTGATTAGGCATATTTTGATTTTCTAATAGAAGAAAATAACTCGGGCGAAATTGAACTTATTTTAATTTTTTTCACCGTTATTTGTCATTTTGATAGTTTAAAATTAAGTTGCCCGTGTACTTGGCTCAAGTGGTGGTGGATGAGGTGGGGTTTGGTGGATCTTAGGTTCACATCTTTCCTAGCGGGAAAGAAAGCATATGAAGTACTTATAAATAATGAACGTGGGTTGTAGTGGCTAAATTGAATGGTGATAATTATTTTAATATTTCACAACGAACTGTCTTAACATTAGTCTTGTGCAGAATGGTTTTCTGCATCCATGATAACATCCTGTGGCCCACAGAAGATATTGGTTTTCATTTTATAATAACTTAATTATGTTTGGCTGTAATTTAATAGTCTGTCAGCTATACAGTTCTTTTTTTTTCGAACTTTCTTCTTTTGGGTAATTGAGGTACACAGACTGATATAGGAAGTTATTTGTCTTGGAAACTAATGTGCCATAACTGAATTCTGCTTGACCATGGTCACTCCCAGTGTATGTTAACCTGTTACTATTTAGGTCACAGAATTCTTTTACTGTGCAATATATGCAACTGGATTTTGTCTAAATTTTGGTTCTATTTTTCTGTGTATTAACAGAAAGAGATGGCCTTCTAATTGGCGGAATGGAAGGTGATACTAGTGAAAAGCTATTGAGGAAAGCTGGAGGAGCCGAAGATGGTTGTGATGGGGAACACAAACTAAAGAATGAGATATGGCGTGAGACCAAGAAATTGTGGGTGGTTGCTGGTCCTGCTATATTCACTAGATTTTCTACATTTGGGATAAATGTCATTAGCCAGGCATTTGTAGGCCACATTGGAGCTACCGAGCTTGCCGCCTATGCCCTGGTGGCGACAGTCCTCCTTAGGTTTGCAAATGGCATCCTGGTAATTTTATTTGTAATGGTTTTCCTATTCATCCTAGTATTAAATGACAAACTACCAAACGAACAATGTTTGTGTCACTGAACAAGGTTACACTTCCATTTTCCTTCTGCTGGTTTATGTCAAGGCAAAAGTCATGGGGTGGATATGTTTGCAATCCTTTGTAACAAGACAGCTTTCGTCTTGGGATCACCATCTTTGTACCTCTGCGTAGCTTTCTAGCATTGGAACATTTATTTCTGGCTCACTGTCAGGAAAGGATGTTGGTCTTAGACATGCACCAAGACAACAATTCTGCTGTTATTATTGGTCGAATGGAAGCTCTGGCACCTTTCTGCAGACACTGTGTTGCCTTCTGTAGCTTTTAAGAACTACCCTTTTTGTGCAATTGTTAATGGCCTCTTAATCTGTCAGAAAATGTTGATTGATAAAGGGAACCAAGCACAATTATACAGGGATAATTTCATGATCTTATTGCAGAGACATGACTTACAGAGTTCTCAAGCTGGTATTTAGACCATTTATGAACTTTTGACAGCTGAAAGCTTACATTGACACATCCTAAAACCAAGAAAATATTTTTAGATTAGTTGACCTTATAGCATACACAAAAAATCAGATTTATTGCCAGTTCATTAGCTCCCCTCCAAATTTAGAACTCGAATAAGTGACTTAGCCGATATTAAGATAATTCCATGATGCCTAATCTTAGGAGTCCATTTTAGCCTGTGAAGAATGGAATTTGTTGTACATTTCTAGTGTAAGCGATGCCTTACTAATAGCAATTACAGAGATGCCATCTTCATATGTTCTGATTGGTGTGCTATTATCTATTAGGAGGAGAAGAATAGTTGGAACAGGGGAAGGACACATGACAGGTTAGAGAGAAAAAGAAAATCTAAAAACTTATATCAGTTAAATCAAAATATCCTTAATGATTTACATTTATGTCAATTGCAATCCTCACCTTCCTCTCCTTTATATAAAGTTAAGGCTTCTATTGTCTCATCTAGAATCTTAATCCTTTAGTTGATGATTTTAATCTGCCTCTTGCTATTAGGAAAGGCATTTGGAGCTTTTACTAACACCATATATCCTAATTTGCTTTGTATGATATTTATCTGTTTCATATTGTGCATTTTTTCGTCTTTGATTTGAAGGGTGTGTCACAAAACTAAAGTGGAAATAAGCAATAGCATGAGAGATGAAAGCTTTGGGAAGGAATTATACCAAGGAATTAGTCTTTCTTCATGCAGGCGTATTACCTACTTGGACATGGCATAGATAGCATGATGCATTTGCACTACAAACTAAGATGAACCCCATTTAGGTCGTTATATCTTATGCAGCAACGTTAGGGTGGAGCCTAAACTAGTTGGATGTTAAAAGTTCAGTTCTTCATGGATACATATAAAATGAGGTATATTTGTATACCGTAGCTTTTTCTTCCAATAAAATTAACGAGGTATATGAGCTGAAGAAGTCTTTTTATGGATTGAAGCAATCTCCAGCGGATGTTTTGGTAATTTTTATAGGGCACTGAGTAAAGTTGGGGGTCCAGACCACTCCAGTACACATTTTTATCAATTTTACTAAATGGTAGATCACTCATCTTTGTATAGTTGAGGACCCCACTTATTACATAAATGCATGGTGGGTGACATACCCTTGAGTGAAATTTACTGTTCATGGATCGTGTTAATTGAGAAGTTATAGTTCTCATTATATACTGGTGACTGGTGATGATGAGCTTATGTAGCTAGGGAGTTTGGAAATCAAGGATATAGGTCAACTTTGTTATTTTCTTGCGATTGCAGCTGATACATCTAACAAAGGCATATGTCTATATCAATGGAAGTGTATTCTTGGTCTTCTGAAGGAGACATATATGTTGAGATGCCGCCCAGCTGTATACCTTTTGGGGCACCATCCCCTTAAAAGTGAAGAAGGTGACATACCAAATAGGGGGGAGATATCAGAGACTAGTGGAAAGGATTTTCTATCTTTCTCATACTTGCCCACATATTGCCTCATTAGTGAGTGCTATATGTAAATGTATGAATGATCCTTTCATTACTCACTTAGAAGTTGTTTTCCAAGTTCTGAACAGTAGGTTCCATATGATCAACCTCAGGTTAGTGCACATTTTTTTGGAGGAAATCGTGTTGCTTGGAGAAGCAAAAAACACATTTTTCCATCTTGGTCTGGTGCGAAAGCAAAGTATAGAGCCATAACATAGGAAATTTGGGAACTTTTGTGGCTCTCTGCCCCATTTGTAGATCTTTCTATGCGTCTATATTGTGAGAATAAGGCCACTATCAACATTGGTCGTAACCTCATTCAACATGATAGAACAAAACATTTTGAGAATGATTGTCACTTTTTGAGGAGAAATTGGATAAATGCTTGATTTGTAGGCCATTAGTCCAAAGCCATCTTGCTGAAGTTTTCACTAAGAGTCTTATTAGTACGTTTTTGTCATTCTTTTGTATGCTAATTGGGCATGAAAAATATCTACGCACCAACTCAAGTTGTGAATGTGTATGTTGTTATTCTTGAGGGGAGCGTGTCATTATACTTTCTTGGTTATGTATTTATGTTTAATAAGCAATAATCCCTTGCCTAAAGACACTTTGTGATTGTACAACATTTATATTTTAAATAAAAATTTATTTTTTCTATTTTATTCTTTAATTACATAATTTAAAATTAAAGAGAATATAGAGAGAAAATGAGAAAGGTTGGGGAGAAAGAAGAAAGAGGTAGGTGCGGATTAGTGGAATTATCCGACATTGAAGAGTGTGTTAGTTGAGTTGTCTGATATTGGGAGCTGTGCATAAAAAATGATGTTTGTAAGTGTTGGAGTATAGTGTAGTTTATTAGGGTTTCTTTTCCCTTTTTTATCCTTACTATGATTTTATATTTTGCCTAGACCACAAGGATGTTTTGGTCACTTTGTATTATTATTTGACTATATATATGGGGCTCTATTCTTAGTTTGAGTATCCCCTTTCACTCACATTTATTTCAAGTTGGTATCAGAGCCTAACCTTAACCCTAACTCTAACCTTCTCCGTCATCCTCACCAGCAATTAGCAGCCTTCATCACAGCACGTTGCAGCCACCACAATGCCATTAGACTGCTGCCATACCAACAACAAACCAACTAAATCCCCTACTGCTCAGTGACAAAACCCTATAACTCAGACCACCGATACCACTCAGGCAAAACCATTCCAACGAACCAATACACAACACCGATAGCAACCCAGCTGTTGGGATTTCACACGATTTAAATCCACTAACAAACACACACAATCGAAGAACAAATCAAGAATATAAAGCAATAAGAAACAAGAAAGAACAAGACANTTAGGGTTTCTTTTCCCTTTTTTATCCTTAGGTAGGTGCGGATTAGTGGAATTATCCGACATTGAAGAGTGTGTTAGTTGAGTTGTCTGATATTGGGAGCTGTGCATAAAAAATGATGTTTGTAAGTGTTGGAGTATAGTGTAGTTTATTAGGGTTTCTTTTCCCTTTTTTATCCTTACTATGATTTTATATTTTGCCTAGACCACAAGGATGTTTTGGTCACTTTGTATTATTATTTGACTATATATATGGGGCTCTATTCTTAGTTTGAGTATCCCCTTTCACTCACATTTATTTCAAGTTGGTATCAGAGCCTAACCTTAACCCTAACCCTAACCTTCTCCGTCATCCTCACCAGCAATTAGCAGCCTTCATCACAGCACGTTGCAGCCACCACAATGCCATTAGACTGCTGCCATACCAACAACAAACCAACTAAATCCCCTACTGCTCAGTGACAAAACCCTATAACTCAGACCACCGATACCACTCAGGCAAAACCATTCCAACGAACCAATACACAACACCGATAGCAACCCAGCTGTTGGGATTTCACACGATTTAAATCCACTAACAAACACACACAATCGAAGAACAAATCAAGAATATAAAGCAATAAGAAACAAGAAAGAACAAGACACAGATTTTACGTGGTTCGGCAATTTGCCTACGTCCACGAAGCTGCAGGGATTTCACTATTGAGAGAGTTGAATACAGAGAACGGCTGTACCATCCACACTTCACCCTAATCACCAAAACAACAGGGTTTATATGTCCTACGCACTGGGCTGATATAACGGGCCCAAAAAAATTTTCCTCGGGGGCGTTGCCCCCGAACCCCCACGAGGCTTGTCCATGAGCACTACGGCTTGGGCCTATCGGCCCAAGCCTTCGCTCCATGGACTAAGCCTCAGAAAATTTTCTATTAAAAACCACACAACATTATTTCGGGTCGGGTCATCATCCGGATCACATATACAAANACCACTCAGGCAAAACAATTCCAACGAACCAATACACAACACCGATAGCAACCCAGCAGCACCGAAACACCCAATCCATTAAAATTAGCATAAAGCACTGACCAACTAAATCCATAAAGCACCGACAACCTACCCATAGCAAACCCAGCCTAAAACAAAACAACACCGACATACCTATAGTAAACCTACACAACCAAACCCAATTCTTAAAACATCAAACCGATCATCACCGACAGCCAACATCACTGACAAGAATCCAGTTACTGCCCAGTATGAAACTCCATCGACTAGCATAAAACTCTACCGATAGCCAAGCGACATAAAATACTACACCAACAGCTATACAAACCAAACAGCTAGCAGCATCGACTGCCTCCTTCATTATACCTAAGCATCGGCCAATCTACAAGAAAACACATACTAGACCCAACCCATTAAACATATACTAAACTAGCCCACTGTCGGGTCCTTTTTCTTCGTTGTAACTTCGTCGTTCACATTCTTCGTCATAATGCTGCCAAGTTACAATATCTAGGGTTTGTTTTAAGAGGGGTTGAATCCTCTTCTCTGTTGATTTGCTCTTGATGCAGTAGATTGTTTATTTTTATTTACTGAACTTCTGGGCACTATGACTTGATTATTTGGAAGTTTTTTGGATCTTCTTTATCTGTCGCTATTGTTCGACTGGAGGTATATTGTTCTCTCTTATTTTATCCCTCTATTTATCTTAGAGTTATTTTTTGTGTCACGTGTGCTATACTATTGTTGTTGATATGACTACTACTGAGGGACTTGAGACTCCTATTGTTGACACCTCTACCGTTGAGACATCCACTGTTAGTACTTTCATTTAGAATGTACTGCTTGGTCGCCTGGACCAGCGTCGACAGGACATCCCAGATCAGCACAGACGGGCAGTTTCTCGTCAGTGTGATTATTGCGGTCGACCAGGACATCTCAGGGCTACTTGTTGGAAGCTCCATCCAGAGCTTAAGCCGCCTTCTCGCAGCCATACTGTTGTCATTGGTAAGGCACCATCACATATAGTCATTGCTCCTGTTACTACTGCTACTGCTACTGCTCCTCCTTGGCAGAGTGATATGAATGTTATCACTTCTCTTGGATAGACTTATGTCAGCCTTGACTTCTCGAGGTCCGACTACTACTGCTGCGATTACTACTGGTATACCTCGTGTTTTTCATACTTGCGCCAGTCCGTCTCCCCTTTGGATGCTGGACTCGGGTGCTAATGGTCATATGACGGGTGAGGCTCATCACTTCACCACTTTTGATGAGCAGTTACATACACAGGTTTAACTAGCAGATGGGACACATGCCCCTATTGTTAGTAGGGATACAGTCCGCCTTTCAGATGACTTTACATTACATTTGATTTTTCATGCGCCAAAACTGGCCATGAATCTATTATCCGTACATCAATTAGCCAGAGATTTTTACTGTGCGGTTGTATTTGTATCTGATTTGTGTTATTTGCAGGACCTGAGTACCAAGAAGATTATTTTTAGGGGACATGAGAAATATGGATTGTATTATCTAGGCGATCCACCTTCAGTTTCACCAGTTCCTCCTCCTCCATTATCTGCACCTGTTTTGTCTTTATCTGTTCCTAACTTGAATGCTAGTATTTTGCCTAGTACTTATCGTTCTGATTTTTCATCATAAACGGTTCAGTTGTGGCATGACCGTTTTGGACATATAAATTTTAAATATTTATGTATGTTATTTCCTGCTTTGAGCAATGCTTGTGTTGGTGGTAAACATGACTGTGTTATATGTTTCCTATCGAAACATGTTTGGACCAGGTATATTCCTCGCATGCACCAGTCACCCAAGCCATTTGATCTAATACACTCTGATATTTGGGGACCCTCTCCTGTTACTGTTTTGTCAGGTGCTCAATACTATGTGACATTTATAGATGACTATACTCGTTGTACTTGGGTCTACCTTTTGCATAGAAAGTCTGATGTACTCCCAATCATCACTCAGTTTTTTCAGATGATTAAGACACAATTTGATGTCATTGTTCGTGCTCTTCGTTCGGATAATGCCAAAGAATATGTGTTTGATGCCTTAGTGTCTCACCTTTCTTCTTAGGGTATCCTTCAACAACTCACTTGTCTGTATACTCCTGAGCAAAATAGAGTTGCTGAAAGGAAAAATAGGAGTCTAATAGGGATGGTACGTTGTATGCTTAGAGGTATGGGGGTACCAAAATTTTATTGATATTTTGCTATTTTGACTTCTACCTTTCTGTGTAATCGTACACCGAGTCGTGTTCTTTAGCATAGGGCTCCCTTACAGATCTTATTTCCTGAACGGACACTTTTTTCGGTCCCCCCTCGTGTTTTTGGCTGCACATGTTTTGTTTAGTATCGGTCTCCTACTCGTCATAAGCTTGATAATAAAGCGATTCGTTATGTCCTTNCTGTGTAATCGTACACCAAGTCTTGTTCTTTAGCATAGGGCTCCCTTACAGATCTTATTTCCTGAACAGACACTTTTTTCGGTCCCCCCTCGTGTTTTTGGCTGCACATGTTTTGTTCAGTATCGGTCTCCTACTCGTCATAAGCTTGATAATAAAGCGATTCGTTATGTCCTTGTGGGCTATTGTCATCAGTCTAAGGGGTATCAGTGTTATGATCCTATTAGGTGCCGTATGTATCATAGTCTAGATATTATTTTTTTTGAGCACATTCCTTATTTTTCTTCTATTCCTGTGTCTACCCCTCCAGTTGATGATACTCCCTTTGATTTTTCGTTACCACAGGAATCAGAGTCATTAGTCACTATTACTATAGAGTCATCAGTCTCTCCTCCACCAGAGCCACTCGTCCCTGTCAGTGCAGAGTCACCAGTCTCTCTTTCTTTGTAGGTTTATGTTCGTCGCCCTCGCTCTGATCTCCCTACTGATGTCTCCTCTACCTCAGGCGATGCAGGTAATACTTCTTAGTTTGTTGAGCATATTGATGCACTTGTTGTTAGTACTGATGAGATTACAACAACTGAGCTAGTTATTTTTCCTGATGAGACATTGTCAATGGAGGATGATGATTTAGGGCGTCGTTATCCGCAGCGTGATTGTCGTCCAGTTGTCCGTTATGGTTGGACTGCCAGGACTTTATATCCGATCTCTGCTTATGTTTCTTATGGTGATCTTTCTCCTACATTTCGAGTTTATAGTATAGCCTTATAAGATACGCCGGTTCCTCGCTTTGTTTCAGAGGCTATGCGGGAGCCCCAGTGGATTCTTGCCATGCAGACGGAGATGGACGCTCTTCAGCGTAATCATACGTGGGATCTCATCTCTTTACTTTCAGGGGTGAAGTCTGTTGGATGTCGCTGGGTTTACACCATGAAGTTTCTTGTGGATAGTACTATTGATCGTCACAAGGCTAGGCTTGGGGCGAAGGGCTTTACTCAGGTACCAGGTCGTGATTTTGGTGCTACCTTTGCCCCCGTGGCAAAATTAACTATTGTTCAATTGATTATTTCTTTAGCTGCGGAGTACTCTTGGCCTCTTCATCAGTTGGATGTGAAGAATGCATTTTTTCACGGTGATCTGGATGAGATTATTTATATGAATGCACTACTGGGCTTTTGTGGTGAGGGGGAGTATGTTGGAAAGGTATGTCGACTGCGTAAGTCTCTCTATGGACTGAAATAGTCACCACAAGCCTAATTCTCTCACTTTAGTGATGTAGTTGTACGTTTAGGGTTCACCAGATGTCATTCTGATCATACCTACTTCATTCGACGGGATACTTCTGGACAGTGTGTCATACTTCTGGTATATGTTGATGATATTATTATTAGTGGAGATGGTATTTCTGGGACTATGCAGGTCAAGATAGACCTTGGGAAGGCTTTCGATGTGAAGGATTTTGGATTTTTGCGATACTTTCTTGGGATTTAGGTTGCTCGTAGCAGCAGGGGTATTGTTCTGTCTTAGAGAAAGTATGTTCTGGATCTTCTCTCAAACACTGGGATGTTGGGGTGCAAACCGACATCATCACTCATGATTCCAAACCTAAAGCTTACTGTTGAAGATGAGGAGTTGAGAGATCCGACTGTCTATCAGAGGTTGGTAGGTAGACTAATCTACCTAGCCAACACTAGGCCAGACATTTTATTCGCTGTTAGCCGAGTTAGTCAGTTCATGCACAGGTCGTGTCAACCTCATCTTGATGCAGTTTATCTTATTCTTCGGTACCTCAAGTCTTGTCCTGAACTTGGGTTGTTCTATGCATTAGGATCTCAGACTAGTCCTCTAGCCTGTTATTCAAATTCAGATTATGGGGGAGCATATGACGGTCGATCTACTACGGGCTTCTGTGCTTTTCGAGGGACTCATCTTATCTTTTAGAAGAGCAAGAAGCAGACAGTTGTCTCTCGTTCGTCAACAGAGGCAGAGTATCGGGCACTGGCACTTGACACATGTGAGATTATCTGGCTACGATCGATTCTTAGCGAGTTGGGATTTCCAGTGGCTTCTTCATTTACATTATATTGTGGTAATCGATCTGCTATTCAGCTCGCTTCTGACTCTGTATTACAGGAGAGGACAAAACATATAGAGATCGATTTTCACTTTCCTCGGGAGAAGGTTCGATGTAGTATTGTCACTCCATTGTTTGTGGGGACTAGTGATCAGATTGCGGATGTTTTCACCAAACCTGTCACTCTATCCATTCTTCGGGACTCTGTTGTCAAGCTTGACTTAGTTGATATTTTTGCGCCTAGCTTGAGGGGGAGTGTTGGAGTATAGTCTAGTTTATTAGGGTTTCTTTTCCCTTTTTTACCCTTACTATGATTTTATATTTTGCCTAAACCACAAGGATGTTTTGGTCACTTTGTATTATTATTTGACTATATATATGGGGCTCTACTCTTAGTTTGAGTATTTCTTTTCACTCACATTTATTCCAAGTGTAAACGGGAAAAAAATTGAGGTAAATTTTGCACTATTAGATCGAAGTAAGTGATAGTTGTATCAATAATCTTAACCGTTGTTATGCTTTTATAAGTTGAGAATTAAACTTTTTAGTTGTAATATTTTATAAATCAGTGTGAAGTTTACCCCAATTTGCAAGATGTTTCTTCCTCTTTTCTCCTGCTTTCCTTTCCTCTCCTTCACATTTCGCATTTAACTTATATAAACACACAAATATGTATGCAAAAATATCCTGGGATAATACTCATTGTGTCTACCATGAGGCTGAACCATGGCGTCTAGGAGTTGTATGACTGTTTAAGACTCATAACTTATAAGTCTCTTTCCAGACCAATGAATGAAATGATGTTGAATTTCTTATGGACTTCTCCTGTTGATTGAACAAAACCTTCGGCAGACTAAAATATAAATACTCATAGATCATTTATTTCTTGCTTCACAAGTGGGGTTAACCATCCTAATTTCATGTCTTAGAGCCAATTATGTCAAATGGTTGGGGAAATTTATTGGAGTCTTAGCTCCAGACATGCAAATCTTATATTTTTAATTTCTCACAGCTAATCTGTAAATAGAAGTGACTTAGCAATTGACAGTAGTTGCAAAAGATAGGGAAGCTATGATATTCTTTGAATCAATGGCTGAGTTATTTGAGGTCCATACCTCTAATAGCTTAGAGACATATTAATCACAAAAAGCAAGGTTGAAACTCCATAGTTATTTAGTTAAAGGTCAAATGCTTCTGATAAAGTAAAGTATGTGATTGCATGAGAGTTGAGACAAATGCCACTTTCTCTGTAGTGAGGAGAAAATGCAGTGGCTGGATAGTTGGAATATTTTATTACCCGGAAATTTTCCCTAAATAATTTTTTTCTGACGGAAGGGATTATCAATTTGTTATACAAAACTTGGCTTTTGGAGTGGTAAAATTTATACTTATTAAGTAGTAGAATTTCAACATTTAGTTGGATTTCATTTTGAATTTGCAGTTAGGAATGGCTAGTGCATTGGAAACTTTATGTGGGCAAGCTTATGGTGCAAGGCAATACTACATGCTCGGTGTATATCTTCAAAGGTCCTGGATTGTGTTATTGCTCTGCTCAATTATTCTCACACCTGTATTTATCTTTACAACACCAATTCTAAAAGTTTTGGGCCAGGATGAAGCTATTTCAGAAGTTGCAGGAGTTATTGCATGGTGGTTAATCCCTGTGATGTTCTCATTCATTGTGTCCTTCACATGCCAAATGTTCCTACAAGCACAGAGCAAGAACATGATCATTGCATACTTGGCAGCATTTTCAATTGCAATCCACATTTTTCTCTCCTGGCTTTTGATAGTGAAGTACAAGCTTGGGATTCCTGGGGCGATGATTTCTACTATTTTGGCATTTTGGATCCCCAATGTGGGTCAACTAACTTTTATTCTTTTTGGAGGGTGCCGAGAAACATGGAAAGGTTTTTCATATTTGGCCTTTAAGGATCTGTGGCCAATAATCAAGCTCTCTTTGTCATCTGGTGTCATGCTTTGGTAGGACTTCTCTTATATCTTATAAATTTGTAACTTGTGTTCAAACCAGTGAAGTAGTTTTCTAGTCTTCTTCAAACTTGGAGAAGGATTTATGTTTTGGACTTTGGGTTTAGATTAAGAATAAAGAATCAAAAGCTAATCCTGGAATAGCAATTGTAGGGACGAAATTGGTGCCAACTAGAATTAATTTTGTTTTTCCTAGTTGGTCCCTATGCACTTTGTTTCACGTTTCCAGGTTTCCCTAGCTCTGTAGGTCCCCTAGTACATGCTCGCAGGCCATGTCTGGACCACTAAATTGCTTCCATATTGCTCTACAGTTCATATAGTACAATTTAGCTGTGGTCACATAACATTCAGGTCTAGGATTTCACTGGCTGATTCTGTAGACACATAACATTCAGGTCTGGGATTTCACTGGCTGATTCTGTAGACGACACATACATGAAATTTATGATAACCATCAAATTGTTGTCTTTTCTCATGGTTGTTTTCTATAGGTAAGATCATCTATTTATCACACAGAAAACTAAAGGAGGAATCAGATTGTAATATATCCTTTCTAATGATATTGTTTTCTGTATGTTTTAATTAAACAGAGGCTTTTTTTTATAGAAAAATTGATGGATATCGCTTCGCTTTGCTCACAAAATTAAGGATGTGATATTAGCTTGTGCTTTCCTTGGCAGTTTGGAAGTTTGGTACAACACCGTACTTGTTCTTTTAACAGGGAACATGAAGAATGCCGAGGTTGCCATTGATGCTCTTTCTATTTGGTAGTCATCTTCTTCCTTCCCGCTTTAGTTTTTTTCCACATCCATTTCAATTTAACATTGGCTTCTAGTCACTGAAATGGTCCAAGCATACTGTTTTTTGCAGCCTTAATATCAATGGTTGGGAAATGATGATATCCCTTGGGTTCTTGGCTGCAGCAGGGTACTGCTCTTATTGATGTTCTCTTAATTCCGTTCGCGGCTAATATATTCTCAATTTACATTGCTGCATGATAATGCAGCCTTATAGCCTTTTCATTCAGCATAAACAATCGGATGGTTCCTTTTCTTACTGTTGGTATAAATTCATAATGCCACCTTATCTCTTCAAAGAAGTATACTAATTATTGTGCTTTATTCTCGTTCAATAACTCAGTGTACGGGTCTCAAATGAGCTTGGAAGGGGAAGCTCCAAAGCAGCAAAGTTCTCGATCTTGGTGTCAGTGTTAACATCATTTGCCATTGGATTCATGCTATTTATATTTTTCCTGTTCTTTCGAGGACGTCTAGCTTACATATTCACTGAAAGTCGTGAAGTGGCTATAGAAGTTGCTGATTTATCACCTTTATTGGCTTTTTCTGTTTGTACAACACATTAATGACATGAACGAGTGAATCATTGGATGATGGGAAGCAATATGCTATTTATATTTTACTATTTTGTATATATTTCTCTGTTAATGAAAATGANCCATTCTTCTGAACAGTGTTCAGCCAGTTCTCTCTGGTATGCATTTCCTTACAGTGATATGTTTTGGTCTAGTTTATCAGAGTTTAGAGTTGGACCATTCCTCACTTTTCTGTTTGTACAACACATTAATGACATGAACGAGTGAATCATTGGATGATGGGAAGCAATATGCTATTTATATTTTACTATTTTGTATATATTTCTCTGTTAATGAAAATGACTAGTCAAATATCTGCATCCATATGTAGCATAACGATTTTTTTTACAGGTGTTGCAGTTGGGGCAGGCTGGCAGGGCATTGTAGCATATGTTAATATTGGATGTTATTATTTGATAGGGATCCCTGTCGGAGTTGTACTAGGCTATGTTATCAAAATGCAAGTCAAAGTGAGTTGCATTACTCTTGTTTTTTTCACATTATTTTCATAGTTAAAACCAGAGAAAATGTGTGATGTCTCCTAGTTCAAGGATGAGCTAATGAAGTAAATGCTGTCAGAAGGCTCAAATCAGTTGAATGGAGTCATGGCTTCAGTGTAACAGCTGGAAAATATTTCTTCTGCTATCAATTATCATGCTATATTCTTGATCCTTTTTGGAAAGTTTTTCGCATGCTATCAATTCTCATGCTATGTCCTTGATCCTTTTGAAAGTCTTCCTCATGTCATCATTGCTTTCTTAGTTCTGATTTCCTGCACATTTCATATTTCACATGACCCTTCTGCATTTTTCTGCAGAAAACAAATTGCTTCTGGGAACTGATTATTGTAACAACCTGTTTTGTAGGGTGTTTGGATTGGGATGTTGTTTGGTACGCTCGTTCAAACCGTGGTACTTACCATCATCACTTACAAAACTGACTGGGATGAACAGGTATTGGCAGTCTTCTTTGTTTTTCTTTAGCATTATTTGGAGAAGGTGCTTTAAGAAATTTTTGAGGTGCTTTAAGATATTTACTCAAAAACAGCTTCTTATTGGTATGCATAATAATGCCAGGTGTCCATTGCTCAGCAGCGCATTACCAGGTGGTTTGTAGGATCTGAACAACAGGCTGCAAACCCACAAGGTGCCTGAAATGGAATTTTCTTTCCATTTGCAGGAAAGAGTGAATTCTTGGCTTCATTTTGTCATCATAGTTTATGTTATAACGTGTTTATTGCATTGACGGATGTTATATATGCATGTTGTCTGGATATGTCAAATGGTGTTTGATGGATAGCCAAAAAATGATTGGAGTCGGCTAGGACGGAGGTCAGGTCAAACTTGACAGACAGATTTAATTAGGAAATGGTCATAAACATCTAGAAAACTCAAGACTGCATTCTGTTTGATGTTTTTGAAACTAGACTCATGTATGTGATCTCTGGTAGAACATCTTATTCTCCGAGTGAGTACTGGTGTCGTCTTGAAGATCTCTGAAAATTGAGGACACTCAGATACCCGTTCAACTTTGATAACTTGTAGAGAAACAATGATAGAGGTTTGGTTCCATGGCCTATACAACTAATCGAGATATATATATATATATGCTACTATAAAATATCAATAAAAGTGAAAAACTTTGGATTGATTATAATAACCTTAACAAAGCAACTAATCGATATTATCCTTGCCCATTTAAACACTTAAATTACCCATGTGCGCTACAAAACAAAAAACTTTCGTAAGTACATTAACTTTGGACTCCAAGTGGCTTTGGTCAAAATCAATGGACCTTGTTGACCATTAAAATTATATACATAACCTCTTTATAGTTGTGTACCAAAGNCGTAAGTACATTAACTTTGGACTCCAAGTGGCTTTGGTTAAAATCAATTGACCTTGTTGACCATTAAAATTATATACATAACCTCTTTATAGTTGTGTACCAAAGTAAGACTGTTATTTTTTTCATACAAGTTGATAGAGGGTGTCACTCACTCGGTGAAAACGATGGTGTGGGCTTTGTTTGCAAGGTTTTCCTCCAAAATAACACTTTCTTGTACCTAAAATGCTCATTACAGGCTATATTATAATCCCCATTTCAGCATTTTGTTGTCCAACACATTCACATTGACAGAAGAGAAAAAAAGGGAGTTGCCAATTTTCGGCCATTATTCAAGTATATGCTTTTATAATACATCGTGTTTTTTTTAATAATTTCTTAACTTTTAGCTAATTGGTACCTATTTTTTGACCTTATAATGAAGATGCTGGGTTTNTAGTGCCTAAAATGCTCATTACAGGCTATATTATAATCCCCATTTCAGCATTTTGTTGTCCAACAACACATTCACATTGACAGGAGAAAAAAAGGGAGTTGCCAATTTTCGGCCATTATTCAAGTATGTGCTTTTATAATACATCGTGTTTTTTTTAATAATTTCATAACTTTTAGCTAATTGGTACCTATTTTTTGACCTTATAATGAAGATGCTGGGTTTTTTCCCCCTTCAATTTCTATTTTTGGGCAGAGTCTCCGTGACCATTAATGTGGGTCAAACCGGAGGTGCAACAGGAAATGGAGATGGGGATAGGGAGAAAATTGACCTTAAGTATGATTATGAAGCAACACGATGTTTCTTTAAAATGAGAGCATCTATTAGAGTTGTTAAAACAGAGAGGCCAAGTAAGGGTCGGTCGTATTTCGTGTGTGAAAAGAAGGAATGCAAATTCTGAGCCCCACCAACATTTCCCCATCTGCAGATACTACTTGTATAGGATCTTGCCCCTTATTCATATGTACAACCACCACATCAAATCCTCTGTAAGCATGGAGCATGTTCATTACCTCAAAATATCCACCATGATGGAATTGAATAGAAAAACAAGAATCCATTATAGATGTGATTGGACATTTTCGAAATACTCCAAGATGAAGACACGTGTCCTCGGTGTCACTAATCTTTGTTACTGAGATCACGTACTCATCGGTTCACAAGNGAACATTTTCGAAATACTCTAAGATGAAGACACGTGTCCTCGGTGTCACTAATCTTTGTTACTGAGATCACGTACCCATCGGTTCACAAGTCCCTCTCCCCCGAGGTACTTGTCATAGGGATCAAGTGGCATCCAGTACGGTTACGTACCGACACGTATCCCTCGGTCTGATATGGGTACATCGGTCGCTATATGTACCTCCCCTCTCGGCTCCGAGATGTACCTCTCCCCCTCGGTACCGAGATGTACCCTCCGTCCAGGATGACATTCTCTGCTCCTGTAGAGGCTATTGATGTACANATCTTTGTTACTGAGATCACGTACTCATCGGTTCACAAGTCCCTCTCTCCCGAGGTACTTGTCATAGGGATCAAGTGGCATCCAGTACGGTTACGTACCGACACGTATCCCTCGGTCTGATATGGGTACATCGGTCGCTATATGTACCTCCCCTCTCGGCTCCGAGATGTACCAATCCCCCTCGGTACCGATATGTACCAACGTCCAGGATGACATTCACTTCTCTTGCAGAGCTACTGATGTACATGTCATTAGCCTAGGTTAGGCTAGGTTAGCTATCATGACCTCGTCTTACACAATTGGTGTAATAAAGCATATGAAGGCAGGGGCCACAGCCAATGGGGAATGGACGTGTGACATATTGTGTCACATCAGAGACNCAAGATGTACCAATCCCCCTCGGTACCGAAATGTACCAACGTCCAGGATGACATTCTCTTCTCCTGCAGAGCTACTGATGTACAGGTCATTAGCCTAGGTTAGGCTAGGTTAGCTATCATGACCTCGTCTTACACAATTGGTGTCAGAAGGCACATGAAGGCAGGGGCCACAGCCAATGGAAAATGGACGTGTGACATATTGTGTCACATCAGAGACAGAAAGACCGCATGCCCTTGCTGACACACGACTTGGGAAAGCAAACATTTAATTACACCATTCCCTTAATGAGACTGCATTCAATGCAGTAAAGCTCGGAAGTGAAAGACAATAAATGTCTCTAAGGCTGGACATTTATTGCATCATTCCCGAGAGGAGCTCATTGAACAGTCGACAGACCGATGACACAGCCTTGGTTGCTCGGGATCCCGAGCAGTTAAAAGAGAAGACATTCCTCGTAGGAATCAGTGCGCACGTTGCCTGNTAATGAGACTGCATTCAATGCAGTAAAGCTCGGAAGTGAAAGACAATAAATGTCTCTAAGGCTGGACATTTATTGCATCATCCCCGAGAGGAGCTCATTGAACAGTCGGCAGGCCGATGACACAGCCTTGGTTGCTCGGGATCCCGAGCAGTTAAAAGATAAGACATTCCTCGTAGGAATCAGTGCGCACGTTGCCTGTATCTAATGATCACCTACTGACCACACTGACAGCAATTATGAGTATTTGAGGTATAAATACTCCTCGCAAAAGGCAAGATGGTATGTAACGAAAAACCTTTGCTACAAATTATACTCAGTGTTTTCTTCTTCCTCTCTTTCAAAAACTGACTTGATTGTCGGAGGGGATACGCCGAAAAATACTCCGGCGCCCTTCTAACTTGTTTTTCTTTGTTCCAGGAACCTTCCTCAGCCTTACTGGATCGTTACATTGATCCACGAGGGTCTCCCATTACCATTTCAGGTTACCACCCGACCTCACAGGCTGTTCCAAGCAGTAGGGTTGACCATTCGACTGACTCACTCGAGTTCACCAAGGGAGAGATCTGTTCTCGTGTTTATATTGTGCAAGATTTAGCACGCACAATCTGGCGCCGTCTATGGGAAACGATTAGTTTTCCTAGTTTCTTCTCTATAAAGAACAGTGATCATGGTGAATACTCGACAAAAAAGGAAAGGTCCCTAGCAAAGAAGTCTCGAATTACAAGCTCCATGTCACCATGGAGGGAGGGATCACACTGATGGGAATA